ACTGATGTTCTGGTATTTTGGACGTGTAAGACCTAACCTATGTGATTTTCGTGGTAGTGTTACTGGGTACCAGGAATACTGTATAATCTTGTGTACCAAGTGGTTTGTTTTGGGTGAAGATTGATTTCGGATTTAAGTTTTATTTCTAAGTTCTGCGTATTCTTCCGCAATGAATGTGATGTGTCTGTTTGCCCCAGATTAACTTCTGATTTAATACTACATAAAAATGGCAAATTTTTTTCATCATTTTTATCGGAGAATCCTGTTTTCCCCCAAAATTTACTACAACTTGAGAAGTTAAGGAAAGTGAAATTCTGTTCTTCTTGTATCTGGAAGGATATCCTTCATTCCCATACACCATCAATTTGCTTCAGAATTATTTTGCAAGACTTCTCAGAAGTCCCTAGCCTTGACGGCTTGAGGGTGTGCAGAATTACGCTCCAAGCAGAGGTTTGGATGTTGGCTTATTTGGTGTGTTTTTAGGCTTTTAATCAGGCTTTTCTAGATCATTTTTATTCTGGTATCTTCTCAGGCTGGTACTAAAAAGATCATACTAGAAAAAGAAAGGTAGCCTGATAAAAAAGCCTAACAAATAAGTCAAAGCCCAAACCTCTGCTTGGAGAGTAGTAGAATGGAATTGAGACCCAAAATAAACTCAACTGGGATGTGCCTCTTCAATCACACTCAAGAGGGCCTGCATGCGAATTGCCCTTTTTCATAAGGCGTAATCAGGCCTTTTTTGACTTCGTAATTTGTAGGCAGCCTCCGCAAAAATCAATGTAATTCATAATAGGACATTAGCTGCAAATCGTAAAGTCGTAATCAGCTCTGTTAATGTAATTCGTAATCGACGGCAAAAATTTTGCATAATTCGTAATCACTACCCCCCATGCAGGCCCTCACCCAGTCTGTCAGGGGTATGAGCAGGGGAACTAGAGCATTTCGCCCAGGGGGGAGAACGAGAAGGAGAAGTCACAACCAGTTTTTCTACTGTCATGTGATGGACCAAGTCACATGAGTTACTGCTAGCATATTTATCAATGGGCCAACAGAAGTCAAAATTAGCAGTTTATACCAAAAGTTTGTCTTGTAAAAGAACATACAACATAATATTCTTTAATGTTGGCCACTCCTCTAGCCTGTTTTTTTACTTAGCCTCCATAGCAGGCTTATAGAACTGGGGGTTTGGTGGTCTTCGGCTGTTTTCTGATCAGCCCTGTTCTAAAAACGGGGGTAATTCAACCAGGTCGGCTATGTTGTCTATATGCAATCAGAAAATAGTACATAAAAGATCCCAAAGACCCTGAAGACCCCAGTTTTTGGCATGCTATGGAGGCTATTTTTGACTCCTTTAGTTTATCCTGGCAGAGATTGCACAACCCTGAGATATTTTTCAACAGAAAAAGTAACATCCAAGCATGGGTAATCAAAGGATTGTATTATAAACTACGTCAATTTGCCATAAATTTTTCTGATAATTTCAATATAATCCAAACAGACTTCTGGATAAAGTACACTGGAAAAGGCGAACGTTCTTCCACCCCACATCTGCTTGAAGATTAAGGAAAAGGCGTCCTGTCACAGTGTCAGTGGGCTACTATGATCCAAGACCATCCAACTGTAGCGGCGCAGTCAATACCCCACCTATACACGTCTCACATGATCTACTAGTATGTACCGTTAGAAACGCCGTTGTGAAAACCAGCTCTAAACCTGGCCGTACTCCTGAAGTTAAACATGGCTAATTTGTAGCCAGGTATTTTCTCCTGCTGTCAGCTCTGCGCTCACACGGGCACCGGGAAATTTACGACCAAGACGTGGCAAAGAAAGAAACCAAGAACTTAGTACTCACCCAGAAGACCAAGTTGAATGCGAAAAGCAAGTACTTGATACATTGCATTCCTCCTTTAGCCTCCATATTGGCTGTAGTTTAGTTCCGTGTTAGCGCTATGCTGCCTGAAGTTACCTGTGTGACGTATTACATCCGCCTTGGGCATATCTCTTCGCGGAGGGATATTAAACTAATTAATACCCTAAGTTTACTTAACTTAAACTTACCTAAAAACATAATTTTAGCATTAGACCAGAGGTAGCAAAATTTGATAGAAGACGTCACTTATTGAAAATGTATGAAGTTATGTAATAACTTTTTTACACACAAAGATATGTGGGACTATTTTGTGTCTGTGACTGTCCGTCATATGACCGGGTCACATGACATGCTCCGCGCTGTGTCGTCATTAGGGACCGTCCGGTCGGTTTCGACAACTAGGGCCTGGAAAATGACATCCTGGCGAAGTCCAGATGAGCCAGAAACCAATTGTAAGCTGGATAGATAGCACGTTTTATCGTTTTAATTTGTAAACAGTATTTTGTTGGTCTTCCTATACATGTAACGTTATATCAAGGAGGTTTAAAATTGATTTTTACCTCCATAATAAAATCAACAATCACACCGAAGGCCTAACGATTTGTTTAAAAAGACATATTCACACTTCTGGACAATTATGTAAAACCTTTCTTTTGATGACAACAATGCGTCTGTCAACTTCATGCTACTGTTTGTTGTTTGAACTTCAAAGTGTTTCCCGCAGAGAACGGGAGACACTTGTCTGACAGTCAAGTGTTAATCTTTTGTGAATAAAGACAGAAAGATAATAGGCTCGCTGAGAGAGAAGCGCCTAGGACAGAATTTCTCTCTCAGTCTCAGCGAACAGAAAACCGTCTCAGATAATCTCCAAGCAGATCCCTCTCGGTGGCAAAAATACAGTATCAAATTGGCCAGGCAGTATCCATTAGCCAGAGAATGTCCGCGGCCACCGACGTTGGTGGGGGTAGCGACAAAACAAACAAACAAAAAGAAAAAAAACGGCCATATAAAAAAAGGTAACGATCACAATTCCCCCACAACCTCTGCTTGGAGATTACGTCAGGTGCGATCGAGTTCTTAACCTGTACCAGGCTTCGGGAGGCGGCTGGAAAAATAGGTAGAAATTGGCCAAATGGAGAGATAACATGCCGGGGAAGTTGGTCGCTAGAAGAATACAATGCCAAACTGTACTCTCCTAGCGGATCTACTTCCCCCAATTTAAAATTAAGAAGCTTCCATCAATGTCCTTGCTCCCCCGGCATGTTATCTAAGGTTTCTATTTGGCCAATTTTAATTATTCTTTCCAAGGTGTCCCTTCTACCAAAGATATTATACACAGATGTCCTTGCTTCTACCATATGCTAGCTCTATCCAGCCACCTCCCGAAGCCTGATAGAGGCTAGCGAGTTCTCAGAAGCGAACATTCTGCGCCATGACTGTGTCCTGTCAGTGTCATATGACCCTCATATGTGTGAGTGTGTAGTCATTCCCGTTGCAGCATCCCACAAAGAACCTGAAAATCACATCGGTTACACACAACAAAACTGGGGGCAACATCCATTCACTCTTGGCACTAGCCTGAGTCCAAACTTTGGCTGCCGACTTTCTTTCCTATCAAGGAGGTTAAACCTCGAAACCGCGAAAAAGGCTCGGCAGCTAAAAGATCTTAGAAGTATTAGAATAGGTTTAGACACCAGCCTATCGTGGCACTTCTATTATAAAAAAAACATAAGAAACTGATTTACTATCATTTAGACCAAGGAGATTAGCGTTACACAATCTCTCGTTGATATATACGATATCTTGTCGAATTGTTGAAGCCGACAAAACAAATAAAACTGACATAAAAGTATTTCTTCTTGATATAGAATAGATAAACTTGAAGGTTGACATGGTAGTCGGCAAGTACAAATGTACATTTTTTTTTACTTAAAACTGTGAGTTTTTCATTCCATGGCAGATGGCACACTCAAGTTTTACAACTTATTTCTATGCCGCCACCGGCGCATAGGACAACAGACAATACTCATTTTCACACCAGAAAGTCGCGTGACTGTGACTTGTTGTTGTGACATGTTTTAAAGTAAACTCGTCGACGTCACGCTATTTAAATTTGCAATATATATAAACATTCAATTTAAACATGCACTTTGTCCGGGTCATTGATCTTCGTATTGTACCAGCCCGTATTTACACAACTAGGGCTAGGCTTTCCTACGCATATCGACTTACGGGACAGTAGAAAACATGAAACAGGGTCAATAATTGAACAGGGGAGTGAGCCGCGATATCATATAAAGAGTATTACGTAATTACATTAGGCTGGGAATAGGTAGCCTCCACCTACGGAGGCAACCTTTCTACGGACTTGACTTGACTTGACTTTACGGGAATACGGATCGTAGTGTTCGGCAAGAAAAGAGAACTTGACCAAGGGAGTCCGGCCGCGGGAGGTACTAGTAGCTTCTTTCCCTCCGTCAAACCTACAAGGCAGCCAAACTCCTCTGGCAATTATTCTCCTACATATAGCCAGCGTAGTATATGTTTTTTAACCTTCTTGTGGACTGATACAGAACCACCGTTTCGTTCATAGTCTGCTGCAGTTCTGATAGGGGGCGCAGCTGCACTGATGCAGAAATTAGAGGCGAGAGAATGTTCCCAGCAATCTGGTGGTACGAGTAATTTCCTAATCTCCAAACAGATTCTGTGAAGCAAGGAAAGTCTATATTGGACTCCTGTAACCATTGGCTGCCCACGCGGCCAATTATAGACTCCTCTTGCCCCACAGAATGCGGATGAGGGGTTCAAGACTAAATACTGCTTTACGGGCTTTTAAAGTTATTAAAGCGGCAGTGGCTTTCGAGCTGGGTTTTGAACCTCTAGCGGTTTTTCCTGGTACTGCAGCCTTGCTTTTGTCTCACTGTGTTAAAAGTAGCTATTCTCGGAATTCTCCACTTTCTCCCAATCCCCCTCCTACAAAAATGACACAAATGTGTTTTTAAAAAGCGTGTACGAAGCCGGTGTTGTTATTCTTACGGTAGAGCATCCAATATAATGTAAATTAACAGTGTGTGTAAATGCAAAGGAGTACAGCGTGTGTAGCCACTAGTGAACTATTACACAGACACAAACTAGTACAGTCTCAGAAAATATTTCTGAAAATTAAATTTCCGAAACGATGGTTTTGCCGTATCCAGTATCATTTTGATGATGAGCTCAGTAATTATCAGTTACTTGGTACGAAATTCGTCCTTTTGCCCCCAACATCATTCCGAAGAGAGGTTTGGGGCTTTGGTTTATTTTTTGTACGGTCTGGAATCTTTTTTTTTTTGTCAACAACAACAAAAAGATAACAGTACAAAAAAAAGAAAGATCAATAAAAAAATCAAAACACGCCAAAAATAAGCCAAAGTCCAAAAACTCTGCTTGGAGAGTACCAACATGTAACGTTAGTCCTACCACAAGATGATATAGCTTGAAAGGTCTTTCAAGTTGTTGATCTGTAGTTGTAGCCTCTACCAGGCTTCGGGAGGCGGCTGGAAAGAGTAGAAAGCGACCAAATAGAGAGATAACATGTGGCTGCGGCAAAATGTTCTCTCCCAGCAGACAAACTCACCTGGCATGTTATCTCTCCATTTGGCCGATTTCTACTCTTTCCAGTCGCCTCGGCGAAGCCTGGTAGAGGCTACCGTAACGTTAGATGAGTAGAATCGATCTTTACGCGCTCATCTCTATGCCCAAATATGGGCAGAGAGACAGAACTGACGGGGGACGATTAGACGGCGACACCGGCAGCACGTGGAAGTGGTGTAACAGAGTAGGAGTGAATGTCACGTTAACAGTTAGTTCTGCTGTTTGCGATAGAGACAGGCGTTCATATCGGCAACGATGCTCAAACTTAAGATTCAGGGGCTTTCAAAGAACCTTTAGGATCGACTGGTAGCCGATGTTAAGGTATCTGTTGAACTTATAATGAAACTCCGACGTAAGCGTAGTGTGGCGGTAACGTTTGTTAACGTTAACAGTTTCGACTAGATTTTAACGTTTAACCTTACATAACACAATTAACGTTAAAAGTTCGAAACTAAGGACTATTGTTAAGTTCATGACTCAATCTCAATATAAGAGTCATGCCTCAGCCTCTTATACTCACTATATTATATGTAACTGGTTATGTGTTAACTGTAATAACGTTACATGCCTTAACTGTTATACTGTAACGTTTTTAACGATACTCATTTACATGTAAATTACAATGTATAACATGCCTCAGTCTATGTATAAAAACAATGGTGTGTCTGATACATTTCCCCCTTATGTTGCAGACGGTAATTCTCCACACCACAGGGAGACATTCTAGTTCCAAAGACAACACATATTGGGATGACTTTCTGAACAATTCCTCAGTCGCCATATTCATCTTGGTACAGACATTTCAACATCAGTGTGTGAAATTTTGGAAGTTTTTGGTGAGAAAAATTAAAGTCGTGGACCTGCAAGAGCAAGTGTCAGATCCTAATATTGAAGTTGATTGAGAACTCCTTTTCCTTCATACTTTCAAATGTTGTCCAAGTGACTGAGTAGGACTGTAACAGGACATGAGCAGGCTAGCCATCAACTTATCTGCAATGAAAAGATTTGCTGGTTTCAGTGATCAGTTGGAGCTTGTATGTACAGTGTAGGTGGCTTGCTAAACTGACGCAGGGACCATGAATAACTGTCAACTCAGGTACATGTTCACTAAGACTACTAGTACTATGGATGAGGAAAGGTTACATCAAGAGAATCCAGGAGGCACAGCTTCTCCTGCAAGTGTAACGTTATCTGTCTGCCAGGATCAAGTGAAGGGTGAGATACAAGGGAAAGAGATTAAGGCCTCAACTACTGCTGGTACACAAGCAGACTCTTGTTCTCCACAACCAGATTGTTCTGATCCCAAAAACAAACGTCAAAAAAGACTTCCACACTCGTCCTGCTGTAGAACTGTGACGTATGATCACAAAAGGGGAACATTCATCGCAAGAAACCTAACCGTACGAAAGAAATGGAGACGTGTGGAGCGAATCAAGAACATGACACAACGTGGACACAGCAAGTCAGAACAGAAGAAGAGTACAGCAAGGAAGACCACAAATCCAGCTTGTCCACGTGATTACATGGAAACCAAGTCATCAGAAACAGTACGACATAAGGAAATGATAGATTGTACAAACCTGTACGAGCTTCAGGGCTCCCTGACACGGTCAGATGTTCTCCACAAGTCCAAGAGGATGACAGTATCACCCCCGTCAGTAGTGACCCACAATAAGAGGCAACTGGAGATCAGGAGAAACTGTTGGCTTGGCAGTCCCAGGATTCCTAATGGATACCCCAGTTTTCATGGTAGCAAGAAGGTGGGTAAGAAAACTGCACGGGCCTCCTTAAGGACAGGTATTCCAGGAAAGTATGTACAAAAGTACAGCAGCATGCGTCTTCCTCATCAGGGGCAGAAAGTACTGTTAAAATCCTGTTCTGTGTATCAGCCTCCAGCTGGGAAAAAGAAAGATGAGAGTGTGAAGCATGATGGAGAAAACACAGTAGGTGGGACAAACTGTGACTTGTCCAGACACAGGCCAGGAGAAAGTCTGGTGAGTTATCAGCCTTTACTTTACAAAATAACTCTATGTTACAACTTACTGCTTCCCAGCGATATGTAAATTATGCATAAATAATGTTCTTTGTGGACATAATATATATATTGTCAGTGTAAAGTGTTTTTAATCGCATTTTAATGTAGTTTTTATCGATCTGTTCTGTGTATTTTAAACGTTGTCAAATATTGGCTCAATTGATGTTTTGAACTTTTAACATGTCATGCCAATATGAATAAAGCTGAATTTTGAATTTTTGAATCAGTTCCCCCAGGTTAGTACAGTGTTGGACCAGTCCAAGAGGTGTTCGGTTAGAACAGGGCAGAAGCTGGAGACTGTAGTGTCCAAACTGTGGACCAGGGTGAGTCAGGAAGAACCAAAGTCACAGATCAACACAGCAGACAACACAGCTGAGACCAAAGCACAGAACTTGCAGTGTGATAGTTTGTCTGAAATAATGGGTAACATGCAGGAAGAAACCAACAACTCAAGTCAACAGGACCTCTCACTCCAGACCACCATGGACAATCCAAGAAAACCAGCAGACACTGGAGTTGATTGTGTGTATAGAGGAACAAGTAGGTCCCAACAAGTAGCAGGGAGTTTGCAGAGTGGCATCTGTGAGGAAGGTTTGAGTCTGAGGCTTTGCCGTGGTACACTTGAAACCATGGAACCAACTCCTAGTGAAATGGCCGAGGTACAAGCTTTCATGGAGGAACCTCCTAAGTTAGAGTGGATGGGAGACAGGTGCTCCCCTACATGTGATAGCACCTGCACCGCCCCACCTCAACTCATTCCAGTCAATCTGTCTTGTAACGTTGTGACTGTTCCCAATGGTAGCATGTCTGTTGATTGCAATGAGATTGGAACAGCAGAACAGACATGTTCTAGTCTATTGAGGAACAACCTACCTGAGATTTCCACCTCATCACAGCACGTGAACAGTACAAGTGACCACTACAAGTGTGGTGAAGAACAAGTGCAAAATAGTGAGCTTTGGGCTTTTCCCCAAGACCCATACCCAGATGTGGACATTGTGAATGGAAAATACTTCATGTCCTTTTCCAACCAGGAGTCTTTGGAGGCCCATAACAATGTGGAGGCCAGGATTGAACGGGAATTTAGACTAGATTCACGGCTCTTCATTCAGAATGTTCTGGACTTCAAACTTTACTCTGGTAAGCGGAACAAGAGGAAACACAGAAAACCAGAAGGATGGAATCCAGGGTTCCACAACAGGCACACCCGGTACAACATGATGTTAGTGGAGGAAGTTTTAAAGAGACGATTCTTACTGTCAGGACGTGGCACCGAGGTCGGCATGGGTAGACCTTCATCTGTGCTTCCAGTCCACCCCACGCAAACTGCCCACAGAAGTCAGGCAAGTTGTCAGCCTTCCTGCCAGGCTCAAGGACCTTTCGTCGCACCTCCACGTAAAAGGAGGAGGGGCGATGACAAAATTGTATCCAGATTTCTAGGGTGTGAGAAGCTCCACTGGAAGAAGAGAGCCAGACTGATGCTGGACATGGTACAGGCAGGCACCATGGTACAGGCACATACCACTGTACATGCAGACACTGTGGCACAGGCAGGCACCACGGTACAGGCAGGCACCATGGTGCAGACAGGCACCACTGTACAGACAGGTATCATGGTACAGGCAGGCACCACTGTACAGGCAGGCACCACTGTACAGGCAGGCACCACCGTACAGGCAGGCACCATGGTACAGACAGGCACCATGGTACAGGCAGTCACCACTGCACAGGCAGGCACCATGGTACAGGCAGGCACCACTATACAGGCAGGCACCATGGTACAGACAGGTACCACTGTACAGGCAGACACCATGGTACAGGCAGGCACTGTGGTACATGCAGACACTGTGGTACAGGCAGACACCACGGTACAGGCAGACACCACAGTACAGGCATG